CCCGTGTGCAAGTTGTGCACGTTAAAGATCCATTGGTGGTCTAAAATCGATAAGAGTAGGCTTCGGCCGCCACCCGAGCAAAATTCAAAATTTCCTACCAACTGAAAATATTAGGTGTGTCCCGCGCGCTCATACGACCTTATGCAGTTGCGAGCGCCGTAAAACACTTACCAAAACAAACAAACAACAGGAAAATTTCAACATATTTTCAAAGAAGAAACAATCAAGGGAGACACCTCTGCCTGGACACAATAGAACCTATGTTGAGCGAAGACATCAAATGAGGTTTACTTTTATGAAAAAGTAAAGTTTGACCCCCTCATGTCTTTGAGCATTGCAACAATCACAGCCCTCTACTTACTATTTCTGTGAGACACAGCTGCAACCTTTCTATTTTAAAAAAAATGAGTCTAAAAATTGCCCAAAAATCCAGGAAATTTCCGATTTCTTTGATTTCATTGTTTTGACGAGCGCCTGATTTCACTGTAGGGCGAATATTTTAGCCTTTCACGTCCCCAAAACCTGACTAGTTTTGGGAGTGACTTTCTGGCCAATTGGTTGTGCACGGGTAGAAGTTTTTCCCTGTGCACTGATGAGTACAAACAAGATCGACTGGAGACTAAAAACTCAACGTGAGAAGAGAGAGCGTCAGTCCTAGCAGTAACAGAGACAACACAGAGCAGTCGCCGGGCGCCCGCGGACACACGAGATCTACGCCGTTGGAAGTGAAAGGTAACATAAGATAAATACTACATCACCATGCTGTCTCACATACATGTCTAGGCGTGAACCATGCTCTGTGTAACTGTCTCTACTATTCATGCTTCTGGACTATGCACTGGCCTCTGTGGCGAAAGGGTAAGGCACTTTTATTGTCAAATGCAATGAGTTAAAATTCCTGGGACGTCGTATCCCTCTCAGCCCAGGTTGGCCCCAAAGGATAAGGCTGAAGAAATCCGATGCCTAAATGACGTAAATTGTGTTGTTTAGGCAGTAAAATATGTACACTCACAGCGTCAACTTTTTTCTGGCCAGTGTATCTGATCTTTGCATTTTTGCTACAGGAGAAAGGAGGAGGAGGAGGAGGAAGAGACGGCTGGAGGGGAGGCAAGGCGAGATGAAGACAAATGGGGCGTGTTTCGGACGTGCTAGACAACCATGTTGTCTTCAGCCCAATAATAAGGTTCAGCAAATCTATGATTCTTCCATAGTACACATCATCTCACTACCGATGTTTTCGGTGCACTGGTTTGGCTCTTCATCATTCCACACAAGTGCTTTGAGTTCAATTCCCACACCCGTAAGTCCGTTTTATCGAGGATCTTGGTGTGTATTTCTCCTGGGATGATGTGTTCAACCCAAGTCTGCTCCAACACGAAGGGTTCAATCAGATCATAAATATCGCTCACACAAAATACTGTTGACCGTGCAAAGCCTCATGTTGTGACTGGTGTGTGCATAGCAGCAGAGTATATGAGCATACTAAATATATTTATGATACGTGTCTCGACACGGTGGAATCAAGTGCTCTTCCATTTTTAGGCATTTGAAATGATTGGTTTCATCTTAAAGCTCGTTTGTTTTGTCTTACTTTCGAGAAAAAGTGCCCATGTACCTTGAATAGACGCCGAGATATTAAGGACTGAAGGAAGTGAGGGTCGCCTGGTGTCCGAGGTAAAATTAGCAATGAAATAGCCACCAAAGTTGGGGGAATTTCAATGCTCAAGAGTCCCTAGATAGTGTAAATTTATATTTTTTGTCCCTTTGACCAGCGTTTTTCAGAAAAATCTACACAAAAATGTGTTTAAAATAGACATAAAAGCTGTTGAGCCAAAAAGAAAAAAAAAACTAAAAAAATTGACCAACAGGCCAAAAAAACGTGCAGTTTCTTACATTTCATTATTTTGACGAGAGCCTGGTTCCACCACGCTGCCTCACATATAAGACTGAGCTTTTTTATTCCCCCATCCATATGTTGAGCAGGTTTTTGCTTAAGATTTACTTTTCTGAAACGCAGTTCACAGTTTTTCTTATATCTTCTACTCCTTCAAGAGCCGGACCTAAAACAGAAACCAGCAATCACAGGCTAAACTTACTAATTTGTTAGAGTTCATGGAACCCCCACGTCCCTCTCCACCTTCCCGTACACGGTTATCACTCACCTCTTCAAAAATACCTCATACTTGTACCCAAAGCGTATTTTATGGTCTGGCTCTGTTGTGTTGAACACAAATGTGACCACACCAGCGGACGTACAGGTCAGGGAGTGCAGTTCCGGCATCTTGGGTGGAGCTGTCAAATTGAACAGTCATCAGTGTTTTACATAAATCAGGATTATTTTAGAAGTGGGCTGCTTTGAATAGCTTTCTACTGTGTCACACTAAACAATCCAAAAAACATGTATATATGGTAAAAATCTGGAGTATATTGGTTAGCAAGAAAATGAAAACGTTAAACAGTTGAAAATCAAGATGGGTCCTCATTTCACAAAAACAGAACGCTGAAGTTCAAAAACATTACCGGAGCATATGCTACTGCTGCTGCTACTACAACCACTAGGCCTTCTACAACTACTACAGCTACTTCCACCATTACTACCTCTACTGCCACAACTACCACTACAACTGCCACTATCATTACCACTACCACTACTACTACAATTATTTCTACCACTACCACTTCACTACCACTACTACTACTACTGCTACTACTACCACTACTACTGCTACTACTACCACTACTACTACCACTACCACTACTACCACTCCCACTACTACTACTACTACTACTACTACTATCACCACCAAACAAACTGACAAGATCTTTCACTGTCTATAGCTGGATAATCATTCTCACATGTGTGAAGTGAGGAAAATTCATGTAAAGTGTCTTTCTCAAGGACACAACATTGGGTCCCTGATGGGATTCGAACCCACGACCTTACGGTTACAAGTCTGAGAGCCTAACCACTAGGCCACCGACGCAAGTACAGGACGACTGGCTGATACTACAACTACAGTACATGACAACTGGCGTCTGTGGTGCAAATAGGTTCTTTGCCAGTGCCTGTAGACAAAGTGAGTCCTGTTCCCGAGCAGAGACGTTCTTTTAAAAGAGGTTTCTCCCAGTCTTTGTCTGCCGGTAAGCTTTGTATCACATCAAGTCCCAACAAGATAGGATTGATCCAGTATGCCTCCTAGATAATCAGAATTGGAATATGTTTCCTTTAGAACAACTAAACCTAGTGATACTACAACTAAAGTAAATGACAACTGGCGTCTGTGGTGCAAATTGTGGCGTCGGTGGCCTAGTGGTTGGGCTCTCGGACTCGCAACCGTAAGGTCGTGGGTTCGAATCCCGTCAGGGACCCGACGTTGTGTCCTTGGGAAAGTCATTTTACACGAATTTTCCTCACTTCACCCAGGTGGGAATGGGTACCCGGCTATAGACAGCGAAAGATCTTGTCAGTTTGTTAGTGTTTGAGCGCTTAATCAGCTGCTTGCACTGTATGCTTCCCGGGAAGCTGAGAATGTTTCGGAGTGTTCTATGGTCTGCTGGGGTAATAATATAGTTTAAAGCGCATAGAGCCTGCTGTTGAGCGAGGATTTGCGCTATACAAATGCTATTTATTATTATTATTATTAACATACTGCTACCTTAGAATTACAAAGATCTATCGAACATTTTTGGCCGTTTTGAGTTACTAAGACTAAGACCATGAGGTCAGAAACCAAATGTTCTATCTGCTCTATCATAATTGTAAGATTATTCCCAAGTCGTTGTCAAGATATTCAGAGAATTGCATTCGAAACAGTTTGGCATGCTGTGAAACTCAAATTTTGAGGAAGCGATTTTTTAAAGAAAGGAAGGGGGGGGGGCGCAAAATTTACATAAACCAAAAGAACAAAACATACCGAAGACGTAAACATCTCCATTGATGAGTATCCCAGACGTTGCAGAAACGCACTCGTAATTCCCAGAGTCAGCGACGCTGGCATTCTGCTTGGTGAACTTTGCCTGGAAGCTACAGTCACCGCCATTGTCTTCGTCATCATCTAACATGCCAGCTGTCAGGTTATTCATTATCGTCGTCATCATCGTCCTTGTGGTCGTCATCGTCGTTTTGGTGGGCGATCCCGGAGCGCCGTTCCCTTCCTTCTTCACCTCCTCCTCCTTGTTGTCACCGTCATCGTCTTGCCGTCTGCCAACACCGTCATCGTCTTGCCGTCTGCCAACACGCAGCCCAAACTGGCAAGATGGGGCCGTGACGTTGCAGCAGATGTCCAGGTCAGCGCCTTCCTTGAAGTGCAGCACCTGACTGTTGTCTCCGCACCGGAACAGCTCTGCAACACACACAGAAGGGGGGGAACTCTTGTTTGTTCTTTTGCATGTTTGACTTCCGTTTATTTGCACGTTTGTATTCTTAAAATTTGTTTGTTCAATAGCTCGTTTGTTTGTTTATTTGCTTGTTTGTTTTTTTGTATATTTGTGTTTGTTTATTTGCTTCTTTGTATTTTTTAAATTTGTTTGTTCAATAGCTAGTTTGTTTGTTTACTTGCTTGTTTGCTCCTTTGCTCATTTGTTTGTTCATTTGCCTGTTTGTCTGTTTGTACATTTCAGAAAAGGAAACTGCATCAACAATATAACAGCCATTTAGTGTAGAGGGAAAAGGGTAAGACAGTCAGGCAGACACAAAAATGTTGAGGAAAAGAACAAGGATCCACCAGAGGAGCCATCCAAAAAAAAACAACCTCCAGAGGAACAGACTGGTCGACTGATCAACATTGTTAATGTTTTTAGCCCCCCCCCCTCCTCCCAAATCACTGCCCCTTATAATCATTTAATAGTTTGATAGTGTTAGAGCATGTGAAATCCGCAGCTTGCACTGTATGCTTCCGCGGAAGCCGAGAATGATTCTGAGTGTTCTCAGAGGGTCTGCTGGGGTAACAATAGTTGTAAAGCGCATAGAGCAAGCTCTTGAGCGTGGATATGCGCTATATAAATGCAATTATTATAATTATTATTATTGTTTACAGGGCGGGATGCTTCAACCCTCCTGTCAGGGTTAACGAGGCTGAGAGGGACACCACTTCATCCTGACGGGCAGAGGGATCTAATTAATACCGCTGCCGCCAACCCCCACCCCCCAATAAAAAAAAAACAAAAAATCTTCCCTATTCTGGAATAGAACTAAAATCTCATGCGCGAGGGAGCGAAGCGCTTAACCTCTACACCACGAGCGCTGGTGAGTAGGGGTGGTTTTTTTGGTGGGTTTTTTTCGATTTAAAAAAAAAAAAAATTTGGGGGGGGAGAATAACACGTTAGCAGGATAAAGCTGATTTTGTACGAGGTTTACCCAAAAAACCTTTTCAAAAACAAAAACAAACAAGATCTTTTCCTTGAACGGAAGTGCATGGACACAATAGTTGTCATTTAGTACTAGGAAACAGTAATTGCTTTTTTCAGTTGAGGTCTTGTATATTATATCATCGACACTACCAAGACACTGGGTAATAATCCCCC